TTTTGTTCTTGTATTGTCTTTTTAAATTTTTCTAAAGTTTACTCTGTTTTCCTCAATTTTGTCAGTGTTTTCCTTTATCTGTCCCTCAGTTTGTTGAAGATACCTCGATATAATTCTTTTGAATTCCTTTTTAGGGAGTTCCAATGCTGTGTCTTACTCAGGGATGTGTTTTGGGTCTGTATTCTGTTCCCTTGTTTCTCCTGTTTTATCTTTCTTCTTTGTGTGAACTGTGATGCTCTGTTATCACCAAGGCATTGACATTTTTGTGTTTATATTTAATGGGTGAGTGTATGTTGAGTGACTTGCCCACGATTTTTGTTTTCTTTGTTTTGTTTGTATGTTATCTGTCTAAGCAGAGTACTGTGCAGTGCTCCTGTATTCAGTAGTTGGCAGTACCTATACACTTGCCACCTGCCTCCTTTCCCATTGTCAGCCTCTAGTATATCCCTGCTGTCTTTGGCAAACAGAACATTCTGAGAATGTTGTCACTTTAAAATCCATAATGCCTACCACTTGTAAAGGTTCAAAAAGGCTGTGCCCTCAGTCACTTCAAATATCCAAAATGGCCACTGCTTGTAAACTTCCAAAATGGCTGTGCCCTTGGTCCCTTTAAATATCCAAAATGGCCACTGCTTGTAAACAATCAAAATGGCTGCACCTTCTGTATGGTGGAAAGTCCACAGCTCATGTTGTTTCCCTCCTTGGTGTCTCCCTTCCTAGTCATAGGCCACCAGCACAGTCATCCTTGCAGCCCTTGGTGAACTGGGCTTATCTTTAGGTCAATTCTCAGTTCCCAACACCATATGGAAATATTCAGGCTGTTGGTTCCATCAGAGTAGCTGATAGTCCACTCCGCTGAGCATCTCCGTACTCACAGTTTTCATTCAGTTTTTCCACAAGTTGGTGCTTAATCCACTTCTGTATAGTTCCTTTCAAAGTTTAGGGCTCCAGGATTATCTTCTGTATCTCTGTCAATTGTTTTTTTTTTTTTTTCTTTCTTTGTTGAAGAAAGTCTGTGTAGCTTGCCTGCCTATTCCCTATCTTACCGGAAGTCCCCCCTTTATTTTTAATTTCTTTTTACCTCTGTGTCTAAGGTGGGTCTCTTGTAGGTAGCATATTGATGAGTCTTCTTTTTTTATACAATATGCCACTCTCTTTCTCTTGACTCATGCATTTAGTCCATTCACATTGAGTGTAATTAGTGATAGATGTGAATTTATTGCTGTCATTCTGTTGTGGCATTTTTTTGTTGTTGTTGTGTTGTTGGTGATTTCCATGTTCAAAATATTTTTCTGTGCTGAGTTCATCTTGTTATCAAGTGTTTTTTTTTTTTTTTTCTACCTCTTTTCTTCCTTATTGTTGATTTTGTACTTACTAAACCCATGTGTTTTTCTTCTTTCTGAATTTGCTTAGAAGAACTGTCAACTTTTTTGTGGTTACCCTGAAGTAAATTCTTATATCCCTAAGTTTGGAACAATCTGTTATATAAAAACATTGTCCTGTCTTCCTCTCCATTTGGAAGTTTTTAAAGTAATTAAAACTTTTATTCCCTCAGTTTGCCTTGTTCCTGATTTTGTCTGCAGATTAACTCCGTTATTTCTCTGTGTATATTATTTTACAAGCCTATTTTGAGTATCTATTTTGGTTTGGTTTCTAAATGGTGGTGTCAAGTGTCTGGATTTTAATTTGTTGTTCTCCGTTGTGGATTCTCTATTGGAAGGACTCCCTTTAGCATTCCTTGGAGGGTTGGTCTGGTTTTCACAAATTCTCTTAATTTCTTTTTGTCTGAGAAAGTCTTGATTTCACCCTCATATTTGAGGGACAATTTGGCTGGATATATAATTCTTGGCTGGCAATTCTTTTCCTTCAAGGTTTTATATATACCATCTCATTGCCATTTTGCCTGCATGGTTACTGCTGAGAAATCAGAGCTTAGTCCTATTGATTGCCCATTGTAGGTGACATTTTGTTTTTCCTGAGCTGGTTGCAATATTCTTTCCTTGTCTTTGGTTTAGGAAAGTTTGATTATGATATGTCTTGATGACTTTCTTCTAGGGTCCATCCTGTACGTGGTTTGTTGATGTTCTTGAACAGATATCTTTTCTTCTTCATGATATAGGGGAGATTTTCTGTTAGCAAGTCTTTGACAATTTTCTCAGTTTATTTTGCCTCCTTTTGTTCTGCTGTTCCAATCAGGTGTATGTTATTTCTTTTCATGTCACCCCATATAACTCTTAGGTTTTTTCATTTCTCTTAAATCTTTGTTCTGAATTTTTCATACAGCTGGTGTCAAGGGATTTGTCTTCTAGTTGGAAAATGAGTTGCTCAGCCCGTTCTAGTCTACTTTTTTTGTCCTTCTACTGTTTATCTATCTCTGTAATTTTAGTGTTCACCTTTTGGATTTCAAATTGCTATTCTACTATGAGTTCTAATTGTATATTGTCTTGTTATTCTGTTCTTGAATGATTGTCCTGAATTCTTCCAGGGTACTGTCTGTCTTCTCATTACTTCTGTTTATGGTTGGTTTGAGCTCTTAGAGAGTCCTATACATATCTATACTTTTTGAAATTCCTTTTCAAATAGTTTTATTGCTTGTTTTTCTTCCATGATAGATAATTCTTTAGCCTGGGCTTTTATTTTTACTGTCTTGTCCTTTTATTTGTTTGTTTGTTTGGCTTGAGGTTGTCTGTTGTTTCCTAGACATTTTGAAGTTGTCTTTAATTGTTAGTTATGTATTAATTTGTTTTACCCTGATTTTATGTTTTACTATAATGGAAAGTGTGGAGCAATGTACATTTTTGGTTATTAACTCGGCTGGACTGGGTCACTCTCTAGCTCTCTCTGTGTTGATGGAATCACTGGTGGGGATGTTGGTGCAAGTCTCTGTTCGTTGTGAAGACGATTTGGAGTTGGGAAGAGTAGCTGTTGTCCACCATCTGTCCTTGATCCTGCGGCACAGGAGCTATTGGTATTACCTGTCTATTGGGTGAGGTGTTCAGTGTAATAGCTCTGGTTGCTGGGTGGGAGTTTAATGTGCTTCTCCTATTGGACGAGGCAGGAGAGAAAAGGAAGAAAGAAAAAGAAAAAAGAAAAAGAAAAGGCACCAGAAGTGAGCCCCAAATAGAAAAGTAGAAGGCGTTTTCGGTGTTTTGGGGAGATAATTCAGTCAGCAATGCAGGCACTGGCAGGGGAGGCTGGGTACTTCTAAGACATCTACTAATGATGGTCTACCATCAATCAAAGGCCCACAGTTCAAAACTAACAGACACCCAGTGGAGAGAGGACCACCACTTTCTGCTTGGATTGAGAAGCTGCAAAATCTCAGTTCCCAGGACAGGTCTGTGCTGAAAGGGGGTTGTCAAAAGTTGGACCCAAGCCTGCTGCCATGTACCCACTATGGGGTTCTTCCTACTTGGAGGGAGTTTCTTCCTTTCCCTGACTCCCTTCTGGACTCTACAGCAGCTGAAGCCAACTGGGGTCTTGGTCCGTTTCCCTGTAAGATCATTGTACTCACTCTGAGCCTGAGGTCACCTCGAAAAAATCCTGGTGTGGCTGTTCTGAGTCCCCATCATCTGTGGTTCCATGATTTTTTTTTTTTTTCTTCCTTTCCTCATCCTCAACCTCTTTTGTATGTTTAATGACTTCTCTCTATCTCCGTCTCTGCTGGCTGAGTGAGTTTGTTTATTTTTTTGTAGTTGTTTGATCTGTTGTCTTTCTTCACCTTCGCCGAATCTAATACTTTATCTTCTCCTTAGTTGCTGATAACTCCAGTATCATTATTTGTATCAGCTTTACCTAGTTACTCAGAGTCTCAATTGGAAGAGGGATCAGACGTGTGGGTTATCTGTACAATGCCATCCTCCCATTCCTTGATCCACTTCTTTATCCTTTCCTTCAAAGCTCAGGGTTCCAGGATCATCTTCTGTATCAGTTTCAATTTGTTTCTCATTGCTTTGTTGCAGAGGGTCTTAGTAGCTTGTCTGCCTATTCTGCCATCTTGCTGGAGCTCCATTCTATTTACTTTAGCTATTTTACCTTCAAAGCCAGTTTCAGAGTCTCTTTTGACATGCATTTTGTTTTTTTCCCTACTTTCCTTTCTTTTAAATGACTGTTTGCTTTCTTCATGTAGCTTGTTTGGTCCAAGGGATGTATCTCTGTAGAGTAGTTGGGTGCATCGCCCTGGATTGAGTGTTTTGTATTGTAAGTCTTATTTACTATTGGGCTGAGAGCCATCCCTTGAGAGTGAGTTTTATCCCAGGCCTGAAGTGTATCCCAGGGCCTTAGTCTTGGGGGTCCCATCAGACTCCATCTCACCAGTAGATCTAGTCATTATTGTGCTTTTACATCTTGTTCCACATTTTTCCTCCCACTTTACCCAGGATCTCCAATTATGATCTCTTCCTGAGTGGTTGTCACTGGCCAATTTTTTAAGAAGTAAATTGCCAGGTCCTTCTTCCTAGTCTGTGTAAATCTAGAAGCTCCACTAAAGTGTGTCCACCATAGGTAACCCTAGTGGTATCTGAAATATTGGTGACATAGCTTCACAGGAACATAAAAACCACAACATTAGGACAAACTGATGGATGAGTGGTAGATGATTTAAATAGATGTTAACTAAACTCCTTTATTCCTCTTCTTTTTTGGCTTAAAAAATTGCCTTCACTACACAGTGTGATTGGGATATTGATGACATTTATTCCAATACTTCAGGATTCATTAAAACTTGGTGCTTTTAAAATTAATAATATCTAATATCATTAAATATTTTAGCTAGTATTTTGTAGTGTGGTTTAGATATTCATGATACTCATTCCAGTACTTCAGGATTTATTAAAAACTTTTCTAATAGCTACATGAGTAGAGAGAAACTGATTGCTATGTTGATCCAATGTAATTTTACCCATTCTTTTATTCCCATAGTGTATATATTCATAGGGCCTTAAATACGTTCACAGTAGAGTTGGTGTTTCTTAGAACTTCTCTGGTGCTTCTGTTCACAGATGTCAGTGCTATGGCCATGCTGATACCTGTGATACAACGAGCCACCCATATAGATGCTTCTGCTCTCAGGAAAGCTTCACAGAAGGACTTCATGTGAGTTCTCTGTTTTATGCATGGAAATCTATAATTAAAAAAAAAAAAAAGAAAGAAAGCAGGCATGAACGTAAATTCTAGAAACTTAACTTTAGTATAGATTCTCAGTAAATAAAAATAAATTTACATGAACCTAAAATGTCAATTATTTCAGATAATATTTTATGAGAAAAATAAGAGCCATTGATAAAGTTGAAAAATTTGTTTTTAAAATAAACTCAATAAGAGCAATTACAACTGAAATTAGATCCTGAGATTTTATTCCTTTTCTTTCTCTCTCTCATTTTTTTTTTTTTTTTGGTCAGAGTTATATGTTTTATAAAATAATTTTTAAGGGGTTTGGCACTTAACAAAAAATTGAATGTTCTCTGTATCTAAAGGGCATTTATGTAAAGGTGTCTAGACAATATATAAACCGTATATTTTTTTGTAGGAGCTCTGGTAGCATAGTGCCTAAGGCACTTGACTGCTAACCAGAAGGCTAGTGGTTCAAACCCACCAGCTACTCCTTGGAAGGAAGGTTGGGCAATCTACTTGCATAGTGATACCGTCTCAGAAACCCAAGGAAGGGTCACTGTGAGTTGGGTCCGACTCGATGGCACATAACAACAACGATAACATTTTTTGGTTAAGTAAGATGCAGGGAAATAATCAGTATTTGACTCAATCAAATTTATTTAATTAAAGATATCAGTAATCCATTTAGAAATCTATATTAAAATTATTTAGAAGTTATGTTACTTTAGTTTGCATATAATGGTCAGCGGAAGTTTTCATAGCTGAGGCTGAAATTTAGCTGTGTCTTTAGGAATAGAAGTTAATTGGAAAATATTCGTAGATATTTGTTAATAGACGTGTCTAGCATCAACATCAGCAATGGATGATATGAAAGATGTTACAGCAGTAACAATGGTACCAATGGTAATAGTATATAGTAAGAAGTTTCTAGTAAATGATGTTTTGGGCAATTGGGTGGCAAATTGGCAAGACAGTAAAATTAGAGCCCTACTTCATGGCATGTACAAGAATCCAGGTGGCTTACAAATATTAAATGTGAAATAATGGTAAATCTATTAGAAGAAACATTTGAAGAAACAAATGAAATGCAAATGAAAGAAAAAAATCTATGTAGAAAATTATAGACATTTATATCACATAATTATTTTAAATTATGCATGGTATAAAAACTGGGATAATGTAGTATAAAAACTAAAGTATATGTTATGGACTGATAGACAATATTTCTATCATATTAACAGATGAAGGGTTAAGATTCTCAAGAAACAAAGCACACATACAAAATAATAAGAACCGTAGAACAAGCTAGTAAAAATGAGCAAAAAGTATGAACATGCAATTTATTAAAAAAAAAGAAAAAAGATCATAATCATGTAAACACTTGAAAGAACACCAACTGCAGTTTTAATAAGGAGGTAGAAAATTCAGTACAGTATTGTTTTTCATTTATCAAATTACCAAAAAAATATAAGGATTGATAATATTTAGGGTTTCTAATAATATGAACTTTTTATACGGCATTAATAGGACTGCAAAATGGTACAGTATTTTTAGTGGGTAATTTGACCTTATCTATCAAAATTAAAATTGCAAATGTGGTGAACTCCATCATATAATTGATGTCATTCTAAAAAGCAATTATCCAAAGGCAATTGTAGTGGAATGGCATATATATATACACACACATACACACACACATATATATTTATTTATCTTTTGTTACATAAACGTGAGTTTATATGTTAGTGTGATTTAACTTTTAAAATAGAAATGCTGTTTCTTAGATTCATGTATAACTTGTGAACTTCCTTTAGACCTTATACTTTTCTGTGCAGTTTGTTTTAGGATATTATGAAACATTGTCTCGTTCACAAAATATTTGCCAAAGTTTGTGGATTCCATTTCTGTATTCTGAGATTCTTAATATGACTTAATTTGTTTTCTTATGCAACAATAGAGCATATAGTTCAATGACAAAAATATTTTCTAGAATACAACTTTCCTCTAGCACATTGCATAATGTAGGTCTTCTGCTCAGTTTCAACATAGAGTATCATTTGGTTTCTTTCTTTCCTTCTATGTGCTCAAACCAAAATTTGTATATTCTATTTCAAATATCTCTTTGAATTTATTTCCCAAATCATTTCTTTATATCACTGATCTTTTAATTTATATGTTTAGTCTTCATCCTAGTTAACAATTCCTTTGGAAGAAGTGATCTTTAATGTATATTTTTATTTCTAATTTGTAAAGTCTTTCATTTGGTTTGATTAGCATATGATAGGGAAAAGTATTTTTTTAAAGTATTAGCTTGAAGGTGTTTTGTAGTATGGCCTATAATATTATCACATAAAGGAAATGAATTGGATTAATTTGATTGATTCTTTATGAGACCATTATTGTATGTATGTGTGTATTTAGATTTTGCCAATTCAATTTGTTCTGTATTTTAAAGTGAAAGTGACATCATCTAATTCTAAGTTCTTTTTCCCCCAGTGTCTTTTTTTATTCATCCTTTAAGATGGACACCTCTTCTCTTTCCATATTGTTGTTATGTGCCGTCGAGTCGAACCCGACTCATAGTGACCCCTCCTTGGGTTTTCGAGGCAGTATCACTACGAAAGTAGATTGCTCAACCTTCCTTCCAAGGAGTGACTGTGGGTTTGTACCGCCAGCCTTCTGGTTAGCAGTCAAATGCCTTAGGTACTACTCTACCAGAGCTCCTAATTTATTATTATTATTGTTAACCTAAAAACCCATTTCTGTGCAGTAATTCTGACTTATGGTGACTCCATGTGTTATGGAATTTAACTTATCTATAGAGATTTCTAAGGAGCTCTGGAGGTGTAGTGGGTAAGGCATTTGACTGCTAACCAGAAAGTTAGTTGTTCAAACCTAACTGCCATGCAGAAAGAAGACAGGGCAATCTACTTCCATAAAGATTTACCACCTTATAAACCCAATGGGGGGTTGCTATGAATTGGAATCAACTTGACGGCAGTGGGTGTGGTTTTTGATATAGGGATTTCTTGGCTGTAATCTTAATGGAGTATTCTCCTAATTCCCTTCTTCCATGGTACCACTGGATGGGTTTGAACAGCCAACCTTTAGATTACTAATCAAGTACAAACCATTTTCACCACCTACAGTTCTTTTCATTAACCTAACATCTTTCCAAAAAAAAAAAAAAGAAAGAAGAAAAAAAGAACTCATTAAGTTCCTAATTAAAAAATGCTCTAGGATGAACAGGGCAACTTACTATATCTAGTATACATGAAGTAAGGTCTGGCTAATACTTTCATATCATAGCTTGTTCTCTGAACTTCTCTTGTTTTATGTTGACTAATCTCTCTCTCCCTCAGTAGTCTATTTTTTTTTCCCTCTCTCTAACTGCGCACAATAAGTGTTTGATATTTTATGATTCTTGGATGATTTTATGCTTCCCCTTAAAAATAGAGTCATTAAGTGAATCAAGGCTCATGATTGGTTTCAAAAGTCAAGTTGGGCTTTTCAGATTTGGTCTCAGGTGGTGATTGCTGGCTTCTGAAGTAGAAGGATAATTACCTCTAATTTGGACTTGGAATACATTTTAATGCTTCTCATTAGATAGTAAGTGTTTTTTGAAAACAAGTAAAAAGTGGAATTTTGTGCTATTTTCCTCCTTGACATATTTTGATAATTCATGAATTTACCCTCAAATAATAAAAGCAACAAATATGATTCACTTAGAAAAGATTAGTAAATTCAGCTTAAGAGGAAAAGTCTACAGATTATGTTAAGTGGAATAATTTTTCAGTCCTGTGATATTTTCGACAATATGATGAAAATGGAAAAATGATTTTATAATAACATTCATAAATATTACTTTTTCTTTTAGTTATAATTCAAGCTATTGTAATATGTATGGAGACTTATGTGTCTGAGAAAATTTGTCTTAAACTATTATGAAAATTTACCTTTTGAAATGTTTTTCACACTGTTTCACTTTATAAAATAATAAGTCTTAATGTAAGCCATTCATTTCCTATTGGAACTAATGGTTCTGTTTAAAGACTTGGACAAAATCCAGAAAGGATGTCTTCAATTTCACAGTATTATGCTAACTATTAATAATATTACTCAATAAACAGGACTTTTGTGAATTATATTACAGCCATTTGGCAAGCAGCGGAAAACGTAAGCCTTGAGAATATGCCAGTTCTTGGCAATTGTTGTTCCTGTGAGAAAGTGTTTCCAGCAGAAGTGCAAATGAATGAAGTGGGAAAAAAGGAATAGTATAGTGAATTGAAGAGCATGACCACATAGGTAGCCATTCTAGGGAATTTTCCTTCTGTAACATTCTTCAATAGATTTTAAAGTTGGTGCCTCCAAATGGTGGTCCCTAGATGCAAACAGTGTTTAACCAAATTTTATTTTAATTTTTGACAGTAAGTTTCACTTTTCTTGTTTTGTTTTAATATTTGGATTCTGTTAAATCATCAGAAGGTAATGTAACATTGTGTTCTTTTTCTCTTATGGTAAGAGTTGAGGGACTCAGCGTAGCAGTTATCATCTTTAGAGGAATATCATTCTTTAGTTTACCACCATATTTATCACTCAATCCACTTTCGTAGTCATACTGCCTTGGAAACCCAAGAAGGGGTCGCTATGAGTCAGATCTGACTTGACGGCACATAGCAACAACAACAACATAGCCTTACATACTTCTGTAGTGATACTGCCTTGGAAACCCAAGGAGGGGTTGCTGTGAGTCGGGTTCGACTCGACGGCACATAACAACAGCAACAACAGTGGCATAGTGCCTAAGGCATTTGACTGCTAACCAGAAGGTTGGTAGTTCAAACCCACCAACTGCTCCACTGAAGGAAGATGGGACAATCTACTTCTTTAAATATTCACTGCCTTGGAAACCGAATGGGAGTTATGCTATGAGTTGGAATTGACTTGATAACAATGAGTTTGGCTTTTTGTTTTCATAGTTT